TCTCTCAGAAAGGGATTTGCTTTGCAACATCATGCTTTAGTGGATTCCATGTGCTATTACCCGGATATGGTTGCAGATACGTTTCACACGTTTTAAAATTGATCAAGCAGGAGATCACTTCACTTGTCGATCGTTAAATAACAAAGCACTAGATGGAGCTGGTTGCAAAGATTCCGTCTTGTATATATTACGAACCATGAGCTTTGAGCGGAAAGGTACAGAAACCTTTTACAAACGTTAAAACCGACTATACCTGCGTGCAAACGGGCTATAAGATATGCTTATTCATGTTGATGACGTACTCTTGTCGGTGAAGAGCCTTTCCAAACTGATTGAGAGTATGAGAATGCAGCAGGGACAGTGTCTTCGACGAATGAATGTGGTTTGAAAGGTTGACACTGCAGCTATGGATCCGTTGGGTGGAACCAGTAGAGAAGAACCACCTCCTCGTTAGTGGCATACACTTTAGCCTACCTATCTTGTTATATGCCCATCTTCAACCTCATATGGCTTGATATCCTAGTTGAATACAAAAATCGGTTAACCTTGTAGTGGGCACGCTATACACACAACCTATTCAGACCGAGTCGAAGGTGTGATTAGTGTCGGTGGCTGCAGAACTCTGATTTCGTATGCGGAATATACACGGTTTTATGGCTTTCAGGGAAGTTAATAATGAGAGGATGAAAATAAGGAAGGCTAGTGACCAAATGTTCTTTGATATGGGTGGTTATCAGCTACTTTTAATTTGCCCATCTAAGTAAATGAACAATTGAGGATTACAAGAGTGTAACATCACATGCCCAGCCATAGGTTCCTTAGACTGAGCTAAAGTACAATCGCAACGCAAGGCCATAATTTGCTTACTTCTCAAAAGTGCCGCCTACAAACCAGGAGGAAGTGAGAATGGCTGCTTTGAGGACCATGGAACGCTCACTGAAGGCCTGCCCAGTCTAAGCTGAGGTAAGGCGCCAAAGAGTGGTAAAAGGATATATTTACTTTACTCAATGCTGCAGTCTTTCAATGATGAAAAGGGAGAGGGAGTAGAGAAGAGATCGGGCAAAATTTATTCCTGGAAAACGTGGAAATGAAACTCAAGTAGGTTGGGAAGTTAGAGCACATTGGATCATGCAATTGTCTATCAGTAAAAATAAATGCTCTACTTAAACTTTGCTAGTGTCAGTGGTAAAACAAAAATGAAGTTATGCGCCTTGAAGTAAGGAAGAAAAGCACAGTTTTGGCAGTCAGGACGGTGACAGCCTCAAAATCTCCGAGAAAGTCAGGTTCTGACACTCCAAGGTGAGATGTAGCAGTGCCGTTGAAAACCTGGGTCATACTATGCACAAATGACAAAGTGG